CCCCCGCCCTGTGTGTCCCCCATGTACGAGTGTGCAATCTGTGCTTGTGGGTCCCTGGAGCTGGGTGCCAGCCATGCGAGTGCGCCCGGGCTGTGGTGGGGTCCAGGGCTGTATCCAGGATGCAGACGTGTGCCTGCGCCCACAGGCGTGCGCTGCTGGGTGTCCTGGCACGAGGCTCGTCTCTCCTGCTCCCTGGGGGGGGGGGGGCCAGGCAGGACCAGGAGCCAGGTTCTCTGTGCTTGTGGGTCCCTGGAGCTGGGTGCCAGCCATGCGAGTGCGCCCGGGCTGTGGTGGGGTCCAGGGCTGTATCCAGGATGCAGACGTGTGCCTGCGCCCACAGGCGTGCGCTGCTGGGTGTCCTGGCACGAGGCTCGTCTCTCCTGCTCCCTGGGGGGGGGGGGGCCAGGCAGGACCAGGAGCCAGGTTCTAGGCGGGGCCGGGAGCCGGGTTCTCTGGGAAGAGTGAGCTGACTGCGGCGGAGGGGTCAGACGCTGCCAACACGCCCTGTGCCTGCTCCAGCAGCCCGGCTCCCGGCCAGCTCCCACGCTGCTCGGTGTTGTTATTGATCATTGTCAGCGTCACGCCGCGGGAACAGACTGTCCCAGCGATGGCCGGGCCTGCAGCCGGCCCAGCCGCAAGCTGCCCCTTGTGTTCTCCTGCCCCAGGCGGGGCCACTCTCGGTCGCGCCGGCTCTCAGAGTGGAAGCTTGTGACGGGGGAAAGCAAAGTGGGCGGAAAGGCTGGTCGGGGCAGAGGGGTCTGTGAAGGGCCAATGCGCCCCACAGCCCAGCAGTCCCCTCAGCCTCGGCACAGGCTCCTCCTCCCAAGGGCCTGTTCTCACCAGGACAAGCAGCAATGGGCTGAAACTGCAGCGCGGGAGGCTCAGGTGGTCAAACCCTGAATTGCCTGGGGGGTTGTGGACTCTCCGCCACTGGGGAGCTCCGAGAGCCGGTCGGAGGGACACCTGGCAAGGATGCGCTTGGTCCTGCTGGGAGCGCAGGGGACTGGACTCGCCGGCTCTCGAGGTCCCGCCCCGCTCCGGGAGATAACCTCCGGCACAAGCTGTGCAGCAGCCTCCGCTCAGCAGAACTGTTTGTAACCAGGGCAGGAGCTGCAGCCCTGGGGGTGGGGGAGCAGTAACTAACAGCACAGGGAAAGGAGGGTTACAAAAGCAGTCCCAGGTGTTGCAGCCCTTGCAAACCAGTTTAGCAACAAGCAGCAGCCAGCCCAGGCCCTGGGTCGTGTCCCGGTGTGGACTGGTAGGGGGCGGCTCAGGGCACAGTGATTTCCTGACGGATCCCACACGGTGCAGTACAGACTGAGGCATTCGCTGTGCCCAGCGTGCCACGTGCACTCTCAGCCGGGCACTGCCCATCCAACAGCTGCAGCCACTGGGCCAGGGTTTCCCCGGCTTTCCCTTGACCTGCCACCTTCCTGAGGTGACTGGCCTGGCCACAGACAACTTGCCACGCTCACCGAGCTGTGTGCGCCCAGGATGGCCCTCAGAGCCCTTGCTGAGCTTCCCAGGCAGACTGGGCGGAGGGCCCTTCAGCCGGCATCTCCTAAGGCTGCTCTTTGCTCTGGTGTGAATTGAAGGGCAGGTCCGGCCCGTCCTGCCTCCTCTCCTGGGAGTGCCAGGGCACAGCAGCAGCTTCCATCCCCGCAGCCCACACCTGCGCTGGTGCCCAAGGGCCCACGGAGCGCTCCTGTCTGCCTGGGGCTGCCTGTTCCATGGGGTGATCCAATCCCAGGAGGCTGCTCTCTGGGCCACGCGTGGGCTGGGGTCCAAGCGGACCAGTCCCTCTGACCTTCGAGCCGCCTGAGGAGCCGTCGATGGGGAAGCACGGTCCCTCCCCGTGGCTCCCACAATACGTGTCCTAAACAATCTGAAAATGGCCCAGCCCCAGCGCTGCTCATGGTCCCTCCCGGAGGGGCAGGGAGGGCCGGCGCCTGAGTCCCGGGCACGGGTAGACAGCGTCCCCACAGCAGTGGGAGGGGAACGGCTGGTGCTGGGGGGCCCTTTTGTCTGACACTGGCAAAGGCTTCCCGGGGGATCTAGCCACGCAGACCTGGGCCGCTGGCTCCCCGCGTGGCCACATCTCCAGCACCTTGCCACCGGAGGGAGCAGGGCTTGGAGCGCAGAGCCTCCCGGGCAGGAAACAGGACATCCAGGCTTCTAAAATTAGCTCTCCTCCGGCGAGGGGCTATGGAAAGGCCCAGGGGAGGCTCTTTCCTGAATGCGGCTAGAAGTGCCGAGTGCAGCAGCTTTCCTCCGCAGCGGGAACCGGCCAAGACGTTAGCAGGGTCAGAGGCGCGCAGAAACATCTGGCTGCAGAGAGCACGCTGGGTGAACACAGTGTACCCTGCCTACGTCCAGCAAAACTGCTCGGGAACCAGCTGGGACCCCACCCAGCCTGCCACCCCTCCGTCCACATCTGCAGAGAAACAGCGACACCTCGTGGCACACGGTCAGTACGACACCACGTTGTATGGCCTTGAATTTTCCCCATGGCTCTAGGGCAGGCTGGGGAGCAGACAACCAGAAAGCAGCTGCCCGCTAGGATCCAGTTCTGGGCACTACAGTTCAGGGAAGATGTGGAGAAATTGGAGAAGGTCCAGAGCAGAGTAACGAGAACGATGGAAGGTCGAGAGAACAGGAGCCAGGAGGGAAGAACTGGGCTTGTTTAGTTTAGAAAAGAGGAGGCTGAGAGGGGACCTGGCAGCAGTTTTCAGGGATCTAAAAGGGTGTCACAAGCAGGAGGGAGAAATATTGTTCTGCTTGGCCTCTGAGGACAGGACAAGCCACAAGGGGCTTCAACTGCAGCAGGGGAGGCTGAGGTTGGACATTAGGAAACACGTCCTGCCTGTGCGGGTGGTAACACTGGAATCAATTGCCAGGGGAGGCTGTGGACTCTCCAACCCTGGAGATATTTAAGAGCAGGTTGGACAGACACTTGTCAGGGATGATCCCAGACGGTGCTGGGTCTTGCCGTGGGGCAGGGGACTGGACTCAATGACTCTCGAGGTCCCTTCCGGTTCTGGGGTTCTGTGATTCCAAGTCAAACCCTGGAGTGACTCTGCCCTCCCTGGTCCGTTTGTGCTACAGAACCGAGGGGCCCATTACGCTGACACCCTGGGGAAATGTCCAAACCAGCATGATGATCTAGGGCGTGCTGTTTGCACCGGCCTTTGGTAAATTGCACTGAGGCTGGAGACTTGGTGACATCACTGTGCCCAGAGATGAGAAAGGCACGGCTCGCCCGTGGAGACAGAAATTGATGGCGGGGGGAGCGGGAGAAGAACTCCGTGGATGCCACATCAGCCAGGCTTCCATGGAGAACTATGAAAGGGGCCCAAAGCACCTTCAGCTGAGGTCTGAGTGTGACGTAGTGGGGGTACCTTGCTGGTTGCTATGCTGGGCAGTGGGTTGTGAGTGACCCCCACTGGGCAGGGGATGAGTCATTATGCAAGGGGGCTTCGAACCTGTCCGACCAGTGATCTCCCAGGGAGCGGAACGAAGGGGAGTGGAGCCCTGGCTGGGGGCAGGGCTGGAAGTGAGTGAGTTAGGTTTCTGGCTGGAATCATGGAGGAAGCAGCTTAGGGAAAGGGGCTGGGATTTAGGGGTCCAGTCTCCCCCATCTCAAGGGGGGCTGAGGCATCCTAGGCCTGCCCTGGAACCAGATTCCATCTGTGCTGTGCTGTATCCTGGAGAAACAATAAACTCCCTCTGTTCTACCGGCTGGTGGAGTCTGTCCGTGCCACTACAGGGGTGCAGGAGACGGGGGACCCCAACACGCCACCATGCTCAGTGATTCTCTTTGCTAGCACGGCAGGCAGGGGACCGTGTGTCCTTGTGCAGGGGCTCCCAGAAAGCAGCATTTAGTCCAGTTGTTTCCCCAGATTTAGCCTGGAGGTGCAGCCAGAGAGCAGAGCCAGGAACAGACAGCAGGCTGGGCCAGCGTGACGTAGTGGGGCAACCTTACTAGGGCGGTGGCAACCTCTGCTGTTTAACAGAGTCATTATGCAAAG